CTGGGATTTCAAACATTCCTACCTGGATACAATCTGGGATTTCAAACATTCCTACCTGGATACAATCTGGGATTTCAAACATTCCTACCTGGATATAATCTGAGATTTTGGGACACCATTTCGAGTTCATTTTTTGAACCATTTTAGCTCATCTTGGGTTCATTTTCTGACCCTTTTGGGTACATTTGGTGACCATTTTGGTTTATCTCAGGTTCATTTTGTGACCATTTAAGATCATCTTGGGCTCATCTTGTGACCATTTTGGTTCATTTCAGTTTCATTTTTTGACCATTTTGGGTCATCTTGGGTTAATTTTTTGACCATTTTTTGACCATGCTGCTCTATTGTTCGATGGAAGCTTCTGGAAGCTGACTGACCACCTGAAGCCCACTCGGACGATCCCCCTGAATTCCCACTCAGCCACTTCCACCTGCCCACCTGGCCCCAACCCATCCCAGAACACCTCCATGGATGGGGAAATCCCTCCCAGTTCCTCCCCACCTCCACAGGGAGGAAATTCCATCCCCAAATCCCCTCTGGATTCATTCCCAGCAGCTCCACATCCTCCTAACGCTGGTGGGACCCCCCCAGTGCAGGTGGGGTCTCACCTGAGCCCCCCACACCTGCAGCCACAGTGCCCAGGACCCCAAAGACCCCCAGGGATGGAGATCCCAACCCAGGGATGGAGATCCCAACCCAGGGATGGGGATCTCAAACCAGGGATGGGGATCCCAAACCAGGGATGGGGATCCCAAACCAGGGATGGGGATCCCAAACCAGGGATGGAGATCCCAACCAGGGATGGAGATCCCAACCAGAGATGGGGACACAAAACAGGAACGGGGATCCCAGCCCAGAGATGGAGATCTCAAACCAGGGATGGGGATCCCAAAACAGGGATGGGGATCCCAAACCAGAGATGGAGATCTCAAACCAGGGATGGGGATCTCAAATCAGGGATGGGGATCCCAAAACAGGGATGGGGATCCCAACCAGGAATGGGGATCTCAAATCCCAACCCAGGGATGGGGATCCCAAACCAGAGACGGGGATCTCAAACCAGGAATGGGGATCCCAACCCAGGGATGGGGATCCCAACCCAGGGAAGGGGATCCCAACCAGAGATGGGGATCTCAAATCCCAAATCAGGGATGGGGATCCCAACCCAGGGATGGGGATCTCAAACCAGAGATGGGGATCTCAACCCAGGAATGGGGATCTCAAATCCCAAATCAGGAATGGGGATCCCACCCAGAGATGGGGATCCCCCCCTGCCCAGCCCAGGCCACCTCTGCAGCTTTCCCTGGGCTG